AGTCAGCTTCTCCTGTTGTTGTGCCTCTGCCTACTGAGGAGGGGGATAACGCAGGATCCCCACCCTCAACCCAGAAGCGTGGGAGTAGTGTAGTGTGGGATCATTTTGAGATGACAGATAATCCCAGGTATGCTATCTGCTAACACTGCCAAAGGCAGATCAGCCAGGGCAAGGAGGTGAAACACTTCACCACCTCAGCGATGTTGCTGCATCCAAGGAGGTAGCACCCCCTTGCCCTTCTTCCTTCTTAGCCTGGCACCAGCATGGGCTTGCAAAAAGGGAAGTCCCCTGCTTGCTCCAAAGCCCCCATCCCCCCAAAGCAGAGGCAAGCCACCCTGGAGTGGTAGGGGAAAGCTGCAGACAGAGCAGGGCATGTTGCAAGGGCAAGCGAGGTCACCAAGAACACTGGGGAGATGCTTGCTCTGGATAGCCAGCCCTTTTCCTTAGTTGAGCGGCCAGGGTTCAGGCGGCTCATGGCACTCGTGGCCCCATCCTACCGAGTTCCCACATGCACCACCTTTAGCAGGATGGTGGTGCCCTCCCTCTGAGACACGCAGGGAGTACTTGAGGGAGGAGCTGTGGAAGGCAGGGCCACAGGTAGCCTTGCACTTCACCTCCGACATCTGGAGCAGCCGGGGTGGAGATCATACCTACCTCTCCCTAAAAGGCACTGGTGCAATCAGTTAGGCCATTTGTGGGCTCTCCTTCAAGCTGAGGTGATGGACGAGTCCTACACATCAAGGGAGATTATGGTGGTCATAAACCGCATGGTGCAGGGGTGGCTCTTTGGGAGACGCAAGCTTACCCACAGGTTCATGGTCACCAACAATGGGGCTAATATGGTCAACGCTGTGTGGCACACAAGCTGCACCTCATAGTCAGGGATGCCTTGAAAGGGGACAGGGCTGCCAGTGATGGCGCCATCACTACCACCCAGCTGATTTCAAAATATAGGAAGGTGGTGAGCTATTTCCACCAGAGCATCAAGCGGGGCAAGATGCTGTGGGAGAAACAGGCAGAGCTGAGCTTCCCACAGCACTAAATTATACAGGATGCAGAGACTCAATAGAACTTCACATACCTGATGCTGGAAAGACTGGTGGAGCAACAGAAGGCCATCTATGATATGGCCTTGCTTGGGGAGATTGGGATCAGCAGTCCCCTTAACAGAGCTGAGTGTGATACCATCCCAGATCTTGGTGGTCCTCAAGCCCTTCCGATGCCCTCCTTAGCCAGGTGATCCCCGTAGTAAGGGAACTTCAGAGCCAAATGGAGAAGTTTCAGGCGATCGATGTTCCTGGCTGGGGCAAGCTGGTGTCACCAGAGGTGCAGGCACTGGTAAGGTGGCTGAAGGAGGGTATCAGGAAATGGTTGGATCCATTGTGGTCCAATACGATCCACATGCTGGTGGCCATGTGTGACCTGAGGATGAAGGGGAGTGTGAGCACCAGCAAAACCCTAGATCACTGGATGGAGGTACTGGAGAACAGAGTCAGGGAGTCAGAAGGGCAGAGAGAAGGGGATGTGGAAAAGGAGGAACCTCTGTCCCGTGCCAGCACTCCATCCACCAGCCAGTCTCCTCCGTGACAGGTGCTGCCAATGTGGGCCAAGGGCACAGCTTCCAGGTTGGGGTCCAGAGGCACCAGACCACAGCATTGGGCAGGTAGCACCAAGGCCTCAGTGGCTACCTATCTCACCGAGGAAATACAGCTGCTGCTCTGTGACCCCTTGGCCCACTGGGCAACCTGCAGCCAGATGTAGCAGGATCTGGCCACAGTTGCCTGTGAACACCTGTCCTGTCCACCGACCAGTGTTGTGAGTGAGAGGGTGTTCAGCATTGCTGGGGATGTGTTGTGACACCCCACCGCACCTGCTTGGATCTTGGTTTGGTGGAGCAGCTGATGTTCCTGAAGGTAAACCTCCCACTGCTGGGGTTCCCCAAGCTCCACATGCAGATGGAGTGAGTGCCACCCTCCTCACTCCGTCTGCACCTATTTCCATTTAATTTTTTTTAACCAGTTAATGCCCTGCTCTCTGAGCTGGAGGTGGCACTCACTGCATCACCAGCCAGCAAGGGAAGACCATGTGCCTACTGAGCTTCTGTGCCAGGGTGAACTTTTAAGTATGGGCTGGGGCTATCAGGAAGGAAGAGGCCCCAGGTCCTGGGCATAACCACTAAAACTGCACTCTGCCACAGTCGGGAAGGCCTGGTGGGACTGCTGGTGATGCGGCAGCCCCAGGAAATGCCAGGATTGAGGATCCCCCTGGTGAAAGGTGGGTGGGAAGCACCATAACCTCTAGCCACCACACGCACTCACACAGTCCTGGCTAGGGAAAGCTCAGACTCGTCACGTGCATGTGTGTGCATGGTCCCCTGGTGGTGCTGGGGAGCACTAAGGAAGCTTGAAAAGCCCATGGGATATTGGCAGAATTGCCAGAAATTTGACTAGCATACAGAAGTTATTTTAGGTGCTGTAAAAATACAGTGCTTCAAATTTAATACCTCATTTAACAAGGATTAGTTTAAAATGCTGTACCCCTTCTTAAAAGTAATGTAAAGCCATGTACTTTTGTTAAGTCATGGCAATAAAATGCTTTAAATGGCAAAAAAAGCAACTTCTGTATGTTCCCATGTTTTCTTGTAGTAAAACTGCTATAACAAAAGGCCAGTGGTAAATACCTATAGGTACTTAATCCCGAGTCCTTTTTAGTGTTTTCCTTACTTTGGAGAGCAGGGTTATTGTCCCATTCTGCTGCTGCACTGCCTGCAACAACTACAGCAGGGTATTATTTCTACATATCCAAGAGAGGCCAAGTATCTAAAATTAATTGATATTGTTCTCACAAGTCTGAGCTCTCTTGGTATTTGTACTGCCCTTGCAGGTCAAATGCCACTCGTTCCAAAAGGATCCTTTTCTTTCTTTCAGAACTTTTCCCCACCTCCTCCCTGCTCACAAATCCTCCTCTCACCTCTATGATGCCTTGTATCTCCTCCTCTGGCTTCTTCATTCATCCCAATCAACTTCAGCTTAGAGAAGAAGCAAGAGGTGGAAAAGAGGTATTCCAGTCAGGCTTGAAATGCTAAAGTGAATCTGTGAAGTCTGGGAAGTAAATTTAGATAGGGTACCAAAATAATGTGCAATTATTCTGCCAGAGTTGTCAGTGAAGATAATTGCAGTTTCACTGCAAGTGATTTTACACCTGCAAAATAATGTTCCTTTTCCAACAATGCATCTCAAAACATAGTTTTGTCTTAAAGCCATGTTTAGAGATGAAAGAATCTGCCTTTATCTGACTAAAATATTGAGTTTCAAGAAACAATTCAGTCCTTATCTTAACAGAACTCTTTTTCAAATGAATTTGCTTTCTCTGTACATGGCATAATGTGCCAACACTGGCATGTAATGCCATATGCAAGTTGAATCAAGAGGAAAATAATCCTGCTTTCAAATAAAAAAAAAAATCAAGTTTTGATTAAATGAGATGATAATGGTCAGTTTAATTGTAAACATTTTCACTCTGATATTTATAACAGCTTCATATACCTATGAATACCTGAAAGAATCACACAGATCAGAAGATAAGGGCTCTGCCTGGTAGCTTGTTTCAGTCATATTTTCAGTGCTCGATCCCTCAGAGCCTGAATTCATGCTATATGTCAGCTGTTATTACAGACTACCAGACGGATTGTCAAGGATGGTTAATTTTTACATCCATATGTCAGATTCCAAGCCGGTTAGCATCTTAAGGAGTGGATTATTAAAAAAAAAAAAAAGATTCCAACTGAATGAAATCCTCTTTTGCTTTTGGCCTAACAGCAAGTACAAGTCCCCCAAAATGTCTCTCCCTCTCACCTAAACAATTCCAATACTCTTTTCATTTACAACCAGAGCCAGGAACCAAACCCACAAGTATTGGAATCCCAGTCCAGCACCTTCACCCCAAGCCCATCCTTCCTCTGCTCCTCTATTCTAACTTTTTTTTTTCCAGCCAGTCTTCCTGCCTCACTAGTGGCAGGCAGGCCTTTATTTCTTCACGCTGCTCCATGAGCCTGGTGCTTCTTTACTTTTCTTCACCCTTTACGTAGATTCTTCCTGAGTGTGGATTTCTTCCAACATAAGCAAAGCTGACATTCCTGTTGCAATGTACCATGAGACAGTCACTTTTGTGTGGAGGGCTTCTCTATTTAGTGAGGAAGCACTTTAGGGCAGGAATCCTCATCCATAGTGCCAAGAATGCTATAGAAGTCAGCTGTTGGTTACCATATTTATGCATATACCAGATGCATTGCTTTCCCAGAAATTAGCCCACCAGAACTGGGGTACACAGGGAGGCTGATTTTCTGTCCAGGATAAAAGCAAGGAACAACTACTGCTGCTTCTCTCACTTCCCTCTAGCCATGGGCTGCAGAGGGAGAAATGAAGTCCAGTCTTCAACAGCAGCTAATTTTAACCCTTTTACAACTACTACTGAATTAGCAGTAACTTTTGACCAAAAAATGTTGCCATTTCAGCTGTGGCTGTGACAGGGTTAAAACCACAGATTCTGCCTGAGCAGAAAAGGGAAGGTGAGTGCTCCATCACTGCTCTATGCAACCATGACTTGGGAAAACTCTTTTTTCTCTTCATTCTGTCTTTCTAAAAGAAGATGCATGTCTTATGTGTGCATGTGTGGTATAAGAGCAGTAATTCCCTTTCTTAGAGATAGAATTCTTCAGTACAGGTTAAGACAGGAACATGCATCTAATTTACCATGTCAAAGAGCTACTACATTTTTGTCAAAAATCCTCAACCCTCAATTTTTCTTCCTGTATCATGGCCTCTTTACCCTAGTAGACCAGCCCTACACATGGGGTCAGTCACACACACATCTCCTTATACACACCCACACATCCCAGGTAGCATTTTCTTCCATTCCTTCCTTCATTTCTAGTTTACCCACTGGTTTAGCAGGAAAGGCCTATTTGCAACCTCTTAGAAAGCAAAAACCAATATTCCTAGTAGTTTTCCCATTTTATTTTCTCCTTTGGAAGCAGTAATTGATGATAATGCTATACAGCTGATGGACTGGTGCCTTGAAGTCAGAACATCTTTCCTTCAAAGGCCTCTAGGTTGAAAGCCGTGTCCAGGAATTTTCTGAGTGACACCATATGAGTGTTCTTGTTACCTGTGGCAGAAGCAGCAGCTGGTTCTCGGCCAACATACCTACACAATGCAAGACACAATTAGATGGATAACAGGAGAGGAAAGAGACAGAAAATGCTGAAGCTTCTTTAAAAAGTGAACATGGAAACTAGTTAGCAGCATTTAAGTTTGGGTCAGGGAGACATATGCATTCTATTATGGCCCCTCTTGGATATTCAGTGTTATTGCAGGTTTAAGACAGAAGACCAGATGAAAACTACTCTGTGGCCTTTGATAAAGCTGATCTACACCAGCTTGGAACCTGTCCCAAGAGGGCTATTTAACAGTATGGGTCTATGTGTAGGTGGCTCTTGCTAGTCGCACACACTCAGCCTTACCAAGGATAGC